TCAGTTTACAACAATTTCTTACTTGTGGTAAGGGTAGCAAATTTTTTAGTTCTTCAAGGCCTCCGACTTACAGAATAGCCTTACTAACTAATTTTCATGCCAAAAAATCACTACCTTTATACTATAGAAAAAGAATAGGAAGCTTTTTGATCCCACTGGTTTTCTCTTAAAGGTAGAAAAACCTATGCTTCATGCTCATCTCTCTTTCACCACACTCTGTGTTTCCTCACAGACCAATTCAAATGTAATTTGACATTGAACTCCAGACTCAGTTTTTCCCCCTGTATCAATAACAGAATTAGATAACTAAATCAAGTTATTCTTACTGTGAGGCAGTTTTCTTTCTAATTAAGCTTGTCTGGTACCTTTCTATCTTTGAAGTCAGTAATTATCTCCCCTAAAAACCCCGAGAGCTCTAATCTGCTCCTCAAACATTTTTTTTCAGTCCCTCAGTATTGTGAAGTCTTTCCTACACTTGCTTATAAATTTGCTTCTGGGACCTGGGAACTAATAAGTGTTTGTATATGAATGATTTGTCTCTTGTCTCCAGCTACTGCTCCAGATGATGAACATAATGCCCTATCTACTAGCCCTGTACAGATGTGTCATGCACCTATGCCATACAAAAGTCAGTGATTTTTTTTAGTCACTTGAATCACGTTCAGTCTATTGCAAATATATTGTTTTAGAGGTTTGATCCTCCATTTTAATTAATTTTCTTCCATTATTAAGGAGACACTGACATCAGAGGTGCTGATCCTTTTTTTCTATTAGGAAACCTGGTTGAAAAATGTTCAGAAAATATTGCTACTAAGACTTCTTTGTAATAGTTGACTCACAGTTATTTTCTCACAATGTCAAAAGGTATATAGTTGTACTCTATTCTACTATGTCACTCCCGAAACCCAAAATAAGCCAGTAAAGTCCAGGCAGATTTCAAGGAAACAGCTTGATTCAAGGTCCTTATTCTTGATTTTGTATAGATGTTGTATTTCATCCTACAAACAACATGCTCAATGCTGTATTACAGCCAGACTCATTCTGCACTTATTTTACTTTAGGCGTAACTGTAGTTCAGAAAAGTTTAGTCAGTAAACACATCTGCAAATGCACACAATCCACAAGTCTTGAAAATGACCAAAAAAATAGTGAAGTCATAATAAAATCTGTTGAAATTGAAAAAGAAAATGCAGGTCGAATATCTCCCACAGTTTTTAGTATCTTTGGGATTTAGCCACTATAATGATCTCCTAACTAAAAGAGGTCATGACAGTGATGATGAAACACCTGTCCAAGCAAAACGGAAAATCATTTCAAAAATGTGTAAAGGAACTTTTTTAATTATTAGAGCTCCTCAAGATTTATCATGGCACAATTCATTCAGATGTAACCTATTAGACAGTGTTTCTGCATCTTGACACACAGCATGAAGAATGTTTTATCTCCACATTGCCACCAAATAAAGGCGCAGTTTCGCTACCGAAACAAACTTTCACCAGCACCGTTCTGCCACGCCTCTGACTTGCTCTCAAGCTCATTCTCATTTCAGTCAACATTTCTGCCATACTTTTCCTCAGGATTCCAAAACAGTTAGGAGCTAAACTTTTCTAGTCGCTGCCCCAACTCAAGCCCTCAATGTACATGTCTCAGAATAGCATTTCCAAGAAAAAAATGCAACATTGCTGGCAAAGAAAGCATGCAGCCTGTTCTTTAAAGGCTGTATTTCTGTTAAGTCAAATTTTCTTTGTACTTTGGGCTTAATGTTCTTTACACCAATAATATCTAATTAGCTTGAATAAAACAGTCAGCCTGACGTCTAGTTATTAGTCTTTCCTCTATGCCACAACAGTACACAACTGTTAAATAGAAAGAGAACATTCATGAAAACATTCATAATCTACCTACTTTGGACAGCAATATGAGCTCTGCTGGCAATAAACAAACTTTTAATATTAACAGCCAGCATGTTCAGTATTGTGTCAATTGTTGGAAATCAGTCCACTATACGATATGGCCTGATTATCATAACCAAAGTATCAGCAGCTATTTTTGGACGGTACAGCATTACATGATTTTCAGTGACATAAATTTTGAAGGAGAACTTTTGTGCTGTAGGAAACACACCATGTTTTACCACACAAAGCTCTTCTGCCATTAATTCGAAGGCAATAACGTTTTTTTAAATAGCGCTCAGGGAAACTACATTTTTTAATGCTTAATTTTAGGAAGTTATTTATTTATTTAATTATTATTATGGCTCGTTCATTTATTTATTGTAGCTTTCCATATACACAGCATTGTCTCTTTTTGTTCATCCAAGTTGTGCAGAGAAAAAGCAAACATTTAACTGCATGTTGTTCATACCAATTTTCAGACCCAGGATATAAGAATAACTTGCATATATTCACATAAAAATACAGGCTTATAAACGCGTACCTGATCCAAACCGAGATTTTTTCTCCACTTTTTAGATTGTAAAGCACTCTTTGGAGGATTAGGTTTTTTGTGTGTTTTTCATCTGTTGGAAGCAGGTATCATCACTACTGATGTTTTGTACTGCATGGAATAAAGATTCTTTTCAAATATAGTTTTTTTGTTATTGATTGACTTTTAGTTTCCATATAATCATTTGTATCTTTCCTGCAAGAAGTATTTAAAGAAAAGAAAGAGAGCTCTGTCCAATTCATTTCCAGAAATCTCGGCACAGTGCTTACAATTTGCATTGTAATTACTTATGAAAAAGAAATGCAATTCTTTTGGTTACTGTAGCTCATTTGTCAGATATAATTAAAATGACCCCAGGTGGCAGGTTAAAATAGCACTACTGAATCAAGCAAAAACCAAAACTTCTTGGAAAATAGAATATTCATTTAATTTTAGTGCAGAAGAGAACACAGATAAACTCCTTATATATCTTCTGCAAATAGTCAAGATACAATGATAGTAAGCTGTACTTACTCAGGAGCTAAGAATGAAGGCAAAAAAAATAATGCTTGTTTTAGAATAAATTCATTCATAGTGTAACTTTGCTGGAATTAAACTAGCAATGAATCTGATTTATGTCTTCAGAAAATACTATGAAGAATGTTGGTGTATACATAAGACAGCTAGGATTCAAAGTATTCTTGAAACAAAATTTTCATTCTCTTCCATTAAGAATGTGCAATTGAAGAGCTCTGTAGGCCACTACTTATGCACAAATACATACCTTCCAAATGAACAGAACTGTTAAAATTATCAGATCTGCATATGTGAGAGATATTTTTATGCATGGCCTTATTTTAAGAGAGTGGACATATACTATATTGCCTCTATTATAGTTTTTCAAGTGGTTGCCATCAGAGCTAAGTAAACACAGCTCCAGAAAACGTGTTACCACATTAAAGAAATTTGCACTTAAAAGTCATCTAAATATTTCTTCTCTGTCAACTGTTCGGGGCAATCACAACAGTTTGTGAATGATTCTCTTCCTGTTCAGTGATAACCTACCTTAGAAAACAATTTATTTGTGCTCAGTGCATTGTTTAAAGATAAGGGGAAAAAAACAATTATATATATAGATATTCTATATAGGCAATATTCACTATATTCCTGTTTAGGACTAAAAAAGTGAATTTTTTTGCTGGTGAATTTATTGCATGCAGAGAAGACCAAAGTAAAATAATATTATCCATAGTAATATGAATATTTATTTTGAAACACTAATAAAGAGACAGTCTTATGAAAAAGGTAACAGTAAATGCCTGTTTTATCTCACTCCAGGAAAACTCCACTGATATTTATGTCAAGTTCTACTGCCATGATCTTCAAATCAGCTATCAAACAATTAAAGCTGTCCTTCTCATTCATTCCTTTGTGAGCAAATACTAGCCACGACTGACTAGGGTCGAAAGTTTGCTTTATACCAAAAGCCAAAGTTAATAACATTAACAATGAGTACCAGAGATCCCAAGTTCTCTTGATCTTTGCTGATGTTTCTTAGAGCAGAGAGCATTCCAAACACTGGTGGAACTCAGTGCCTGAAGCACTCAAGATTGAAGCACACATGTTCTCTCGTATTCCCATCTGTTAGGTGGGTATCGTGCCCTTTTAGGAAGCATTATGACAGTCATAACTGAGCTTAAGCACCAGACAAGGATGAGCCTTATTGGTGCACACTGCAAAGAATATCAGTGCCATCTTTTGTCAAAAGTTCTAATGCAGTCAAAAGTTCTAATGCATTTACAAGGGAATGAATCACACTATTTGCTAATATCAAGATTTAGAAATGCCACTTTTAGCCTCCTCAAACAAGACTTTTTGTGAGAAAGGTGAGCCAGTATAGTGGAGGTCTCCAGAGCTATCACTTGAAACAGCTGATTTGTTTAAACCCTTAAACAGCTGTCACCACATTTTAGAGAATTATAAAAAAAAAAAAAAAAAAAAAAAAAAAAAAAAAAAGGCTTGCTGGCATTTTATGTGGTGTGCTAAGAATCTGTTATCTTAAAATTATCTTAAATTTAAATTATCTGTTATCTTAAAAATGACTGGACTGGAAGAGAAAAACCTTGACTAAATATTAATCTGAAACAGAAACTGTGTATGTGCAACTTCTGTATCACAAGTTGTTAACAAGGTGGCAATGAAAATATACACAAGAAATCAATAGGATGTCTACACACGTAATCAATAGGAAAGAGACTGTGGAGATGAAGGAAAGAAAGTCTTGTGGGCAGGTAGGAATTTTTCAGCTTTCTTCTGAAAATGATTTGTTCAGAAGCTGCCTGCTCCCCAGCAGCCTTTCATGGCACTCACAGCAGGTGTTTCATCTTAACAGCTGTGCTAGCCTTTTTTATTTTCTTCCCTCACTGTACTCACATTCTGCTTTGTCATCAGTTCAATGTCATTCATTACTGAGAAAATTCTTTCAACCGGCACATTACTGCCTGGGAAAGAAATGTCAATGCAAATCAAGAGAACACAGGAGAGTGTGAAAACTAAAAATGGATTTATTTTATTAAGTGAAAATCTCTCAGTATCCTTCTTGTACAAATGTCTTTTACCCTCCTGCTAGTTCATCTTGTAACTTCATTTTACCCTTCAATGCTTCATTTATAACACTTTCCCTAGCAATTAAAATCACTGAGAATTTTCACCTTCCCATTACAGAATATATTAAAAAGTCCCAATCAGCCGAACATATTTTTACAAGGACTATGGTCATGAATACTGTCACAGTTCACAATCTTCTTTTCTATACACTTTGGGGTTTTATTTCTACCACTGATACTAATGCTGAAACACAGTAACGCTGAGAAAGCTCCATGCCCTGAAATGAGCTAGTTTCCTGAATTTAATTCATCAGAGAGATTTGCTCCTGGCAAGGGTCTCTCTCTTCCTGACAAACTGAAGTAAAACCACGCACTTACTATGTGAATCTCTATCTGGTGTAGTGCAGCATGAGGCAAAACACTGGTATATGCTCAGAGCCATACCGGCTGGAAAGGTGAAGGTGACTCGAGAATGTAAAGAGAATGTGCACTGTTAAAAAGAGACATCCTTTCTGCCCAGTTTTAAACATTCCCAACAGGTACTGATAATTCACCGAATGAACTTTACCAGGCTTAACTATCAATTCTGTATACCAGTAAATTCATAAAAATTTGTGTCATTTTCATAGACTGCTTAGAGGAAAAGGTATTTTCTCTACTTCATATCTTGATAAGAAGGGAGGTTCCAGTGTATCTTCCCAAGTATCACTGCAATAAACAGAGGATTAAGTAGCAAATTAAACTTGCGTAAATGAATGAATAAATTAAATGATTAAATTTGCAGATATTCATTTATATTTATGAAGACTGCAGCAGAATAGCAGAAGCTCTGCTGGCATAAGAAAATGCTGGAAAGCATGTCAGAAATTGCATCTTGTCTCTTCTTTCTACAGCATTTCTTTATCAAAGAAGCAGCTAGTCAGAAAGACAACAGTTTATTTTGAATAAGAAAGGCAGAAATCTATTCACAGTTATATAACAAAGCTGATAAGGAATCACTTGGGAAAGCAAACTCTCAGAAGGAAAACTATACCAGCTTGAACTCATAAAGAAGGCATACTTATCTTAATTTTTCTTAAACAAGTGTGGGGAAGAAAGAGTTCACAATATCAATGCTTGAGTTTTCTATTCTGCTCAGCCTCATTTCTCATGCTCTTCAACCCAGCTTGGCTCCCACAAAGCCTTTCTGCTCTCTATTACTCTTGCTGAGAGAACATGATAGTACAAGTTTCTGTAGCATCCTTTCCTAAATCCCATTAGCTATCAGTTAGTCACACAACATATAAGAGGAAATGGGTAGTGGGACTAACATGTATAAACCCATTTTTTTTCCTCATTTCTTCTTGCCTAGCAAGATGAGACAGGATTTGTCACAGTGAACAGCTGTCTTCTGCAGGAAGTCTGTGCGATTCAATAAAAAGCATGTAAATTTTACTAACAGTAAAATAATGACAGAAATTATGTAAATGCAGTTGTGACGTGATTTTATGACCAGTAGCAAACATTGTTAAATTTTGTTAAATTTGGTAGACTGTTTAGACTGTTACAAGTTATTTAATTAAACATTACTTCTGGCATTTTTAAAACTCTGTGTGTGTGTGTGTGTGTGTGTGTGTGTGTATGTGTTTGTGGTTGACTGCACAAGGAAGGTTCTGTTTCTGACCTTAATAGAAGTGATATAGTAAAACCAAACCAAGTAAATTTAAAAACTGATGTTCTACTCCTAATCACGTCTCTAGCCTGTTGGCAAGTACACCACATTCCTACAACTCAGTTTCTCAATCTGTATAGTAAGGATAATAATAAAAAAACACCTTTAAAAAATTAGAGGTTGAAAAGTGATATAAAATATAATTATATATATAATATTATTCTATAGCATATGTAAATAATATATATAATACTTTGTACCTTCTTAAAAATAAGCTAAATTCTGTTGACAATCTATTTTATGTATCTAAATTAATAGCTTAAGCAACTTAAAATACTACATGTATCCATTTTGGGAGCTACTTATTTCTATTTTCAACAAACACAAATTCATATAAAAAGCCTAGAGTTAAGAAACCATCAAATTTAAATGTCCTCATGGCTGACATATTGTTCCAAATCTGTTCTCTTGTGTTATTACAACACAAAGAGAAATGCTAGGGATCTGAACCTTATAGGTGCTCTAAAATGCATATATGAGTTACCCAGTCACTGAGATTGTAACAATTTAAAATAGTAGTCTTTACCACAAAAATCACTTCTGATCATAGTTAAACAACATTAATCTCTTCAGGTGTGTTGTATCTAGCACTGGTCAATAGTAAGCCTTTAAGGAAGAGAAGTATTTAAATATGGAGTAATATTTCTATAGTACAATTGAAATGGACTCCTCTTGGGGAGGAGTCTGAAAGGCAGCCTCCACATCGAAACATTACACCTCAAAAAGCTGTCTAAAAATAAGTTACCATGACAAAAAGTGTGTTGTCTAAATTCCTTTTCTCTGATATGAAACTTCACTTTTCTCTTACACTTCCAAAAGATACTCTTCCAAAAATTATACTTTTCTATTTTCTGTTCAATGTTATCATCCTTTGTTTAATAAATCAAAAATGTTCTTCTTAACAGAAGCTCTTCTTAAGTCCACTCTATTTCAGCCTGGGATAGACATGCTGGAGAACACTTGGTTACCAAGCATGCAGCCATGTCTGCTTGCCAGCTTTTGCCTATACTGGTATCTTGACAAAACTGTTGGCAGACAATTTGTTTTTCTCTTTTACTCTGGCTAGACTCCGTATGAAAATAACATTTTAGCACAATACCACAACACAACGTTCATGTTTCCTCCTTGGCTCATTTCAATTCCCTCCACTAGTTATCCCCAACACATATTAAATGAGGACTGCCATCTTTGGACTGTGCATGCTGCCAGCCATCAGAACAGAAATGTTAAATAAACACACAAAAGAACTGCTTCTGTGCCACTGTTAGATTAGATAAATCTGTGCCCTGACATAAAAGAACTGAGATGTCTCATACATATTCCAGATCAGTGAGGACCATCTGCTTGCTTTCATTTAAAGCCAAAACCCAAAACAAGGAAAGTTGTCACACTAAGAGAAAGAATTTTCATATTTTGGAATTACTATAACATGCTGGAACGTATAGTGCTTCAGTGTTTTGCTTAACACCCAGCTGTAAATAATCAAAGAGAATATACTGAGCTGCAAAGACAGTAATATAATCAGAATCCAAAGTGACAAAACTACTCAATAGAAAGCGTTATGCAGTAGAATCTACAGAGATACAAATTCAGAATTTGAGAAAACATTTAAGCCTATATTGGGTTCATAGGCACTGATGATGATAATGGGCTCAGGAACAAGGAAAACTAGGGACAATATAACAGAGTTTTCCTATTTGGAAGTGCTTTATACTCTACTTGCACATAACATATCACCTCCTGTACTTATGAGTTGCAGAAGTTTTGAAGAAAATGGCTGAACACAGTTAGTTATCCCCATTTCATGTAGTAGTGACATGTCAATGCCCATGTGAACAGTAATGTCAAAATGCAGAGAGGTTTAAGGAAATGTTATCTTAACATTCTATATATTTCATATATGGAACACATCAGTACAGGAAATCTAGAGAATAGGACTCTTGAATTCCTCCAGAAGATACACTGCAGTTAGGCAAAGTCCAGGTGTTCTTACATTCCTAAGCCATCAATACTAAATTCCAGCCAGCACCAGAGAAGATAGGTATTCCATCTAAATAAGTAGAGTGAAATCTACAATTTAGAGAGGATCATTCAAAGAAGAAAGCTGTCCCTTCTTAAAGGCTTTGAAAAAAGCCATATTAAAGAAAAGATGAATATTAGACAGAGGGCTAGATAGTAGTAAAGTGATAATGACAAGACTGAAGAGATATTTTGAATCAGCAATTAACTTTCCGAGTCTGGAAATACAAAGCTATGAAGCCCATGCACTATGGCAAGCAGTGTAGAATAGCATCCTTTCTCCTTATACTGCTTGACAACAATTTGAATTCATTTATTTTTATAACGTATTCAGAAGTTGTGGGTATGTAACAACCATATGAGTATTAATAACTATAAATATATTCAGAGTCAAATCTTAGTGAGACTATACAATTTTTTTAGATCTCTCATTCATAGACTATGTATTAAGCAGCTGAATTTGGGACATAGAACAAACTGACTTTTTTTTTAAGATCAAAGCCTGAGTTGCCATCTTCTTTCACACCAGCACTGCTGTTAAGACATCTTTGATCATCCCTCTGTAAGGAGAACTACAGCATCAATCTTTGACTTCATTTAGTTTAAATGATGATATAAAGCATGAACAGTAATTTATTTCATTAATTTTATCCACTTAGTATAATCCTACTGGATTTAGTTCATCCATAGTGTAACTGTACTGATGTTAACATTCTCATTTGAATAGAATTGCACCAGAAATTGAGCAAATTAACTGCAAACGGGGCAACACAGAACATAAATCAGTAAATAGATCTGTCACCTTAAACTGTATTTTATTATAGCACTATATGAAAATCTAAAACCTAAAGTCAACAGCATTTAAAAGTCTATATTGTACAGATATTTGCTGTACAGCTCATAAAACGTGAAAGTTTGTGTTGCAGAATCTGATAACACATTATACCTTTCACAGACTGCCTAATATCAGAGGTAGCCTGGTTATAACATGAAAACGAGAGAGAGAAAAACGTTATTAAAACAGCAGCAGTAACTGTGTTTGGTTTTGCATATAAGTGCACTCAATGGTTAAGGCATACACATGAACTGAAGTACGCCAGTACGTCTCTAATTAGAGCATTATTTCTGCTCTCTGATCATACTGAGATTGTTAAACTTTAATTAAATTTGTTTCCTCACAAAACTTCTTTTAATCGGGTGAACCTCTCACTTTAGTTAATATGCATCACTTACTACATTACCTTGTGGTCTCTACATGCTTCTGCTGTCAATCCTACTGTGTCTCCTGAGAAGCTCCCTGAGGTGGGACACAAATCTTCTTATAGTTGTGCACAGGATGATGACCAGCATAGTCTATATATGCTATCAAGCTACACATCAATTAAAATGATTGTGCAGATTTACCATTTGAGGTGATATGGATCATATATTCAGTGCCAACCAATAAAGTTAATAATTGTCAGCTTGCTTATAATGCGAGCATTCGGTAGTTTTAATGTTCTTTAGAGGCTATTTTAAGTGTTTTGTTGCCACATGAAGCCAAAAAAATCACCTTTTAAATAAAAATGAGAGAAAAGATCCAGCTATAATAGCAGTATTTTTGTCCTGCCTCAGTTCAGTTAAATCACAGAACTTTCCTAACTTTCCTACATTCACAACCTCACTGGCCGATTTGTTCCAGTATCTCACCACCTGTACAGTAAATCATTTCTTTCTAATATCTTCCAGTTAAAAGTCTTTTCCCCTCATCCTGTTTATGCATGCCCTTATAAAAAGTTTCCTCCCCTGCTTTTCTATAGGCCCCTGTCAATGATTTATCTAGACCAATCTGTGCTTGTGACAGGGGGCAACAGACTTGTTGGCAACTGGCCCTAAAATGGGAAGGGAAAAGGGGAATAGTAGGGAGATGGAAGCTGGCCCCAAAAACAGAACAGTGGCAACAATCTAAGGAGGAAAACTTAATTTTACCAAATATGAT